AGGATGACACACAGGGTAGAAACATACATCCGAAGCTCCAGTCCCCCAGCTTTCCTGGTTGCCGAGTTGAAAGTGAGTGAAAAAATGCGCTCGCTTTGCGCGCGCACACACACACACACGCACACACACACGCACACACACACACAAACACACAGACAGCCTCTCGACAATATGCGTTTCTGCTGGCTGTAGCAGCTACAGCGCCGCATAGCAAAAACGCATAAAAAATCGTCGATTTCCGAAACGCTGGTTATCAGGCGAAACAAGATTGTTCAAAACAAAAGTTATTAGTTGTAGAACTGAAAAACTAGACCAAAGATGCAGCTGATTTGAGTAGCGCATAATAGTGAACTCGGAAGAGCAGTAAATTTCAGTTTAATTTTATTATTAGAAGTATTACTTTGCGACAGCATCCTCGTGGCACGCGGAATAGAGCTCCGGATCCAGCGTCCAATCTCGCGCCATAAAGTACTGCACTTCGAGAAGTCGCTGCTCGCATTCTTTTGGCATATCCTCGTCCATATGTTTCATCAAACAATTTAATGTGCTCGCTTCGGACTGCGCATCCATTGCACACGGACCTGACACATCCATTAGCAGCTGTGAACATATGCGCACAAAAAGGTAACACTGAAGAACTGTCTGCCCCAAACTTCTCCCAATTAACGAGAACAAATACGAGCCCAATAATGCCCAATTGCAAAGCCAGCGACGTAACCCCTCCAGCAATCTTTTTTCAGGCAAAAGGGAAAAACCAAATCCGCCGCATCCATCCTTTAAAGAAGCAAAAGCATCTGAAAATAGCCCGAGTGGTAGCACATGCCAAAAACAAACAGCAGCTGGCAAAGCTGCCGATGGCTTCCTCTTTTCCAGTAAACCAAGCATGTGATGCGAAAGTAATGTATGCTCGTAAACTTATTTACCATCGATGAGTGCCCTACAACTGGCGTATAATACCTCATCCACTTTGTAGTTCGAACCAATATCAGCAACCTGAAATACGACCAGCGATTTTTTTTTAATGCAAACAGAACGAACAAAAAATTTTCCATAAAAGTTAAAATTTTGACTTTTAAATGAAAAATACAAAAGTAACCTTGATGACAGTTTGTAGGGCTTGCATGCATTGTGGTCCCAGCTGCTTGTTCGGATCGCGTTCTTTCGCATGACCCAATAAGCAATGAAGTGTTCGTCCTTCGGCCTCAATATCACCTTTGGGACTGCAGAAAGCATCGATTTCCTGCAAAAATATTTCCTCAGAGTCTGTCACAGCAATGTTCGGCGGGCTGAAGCATTCCACTAACATCACTAATAACAAATCCTCACACCGACTGTCTGGGTGATTTTGTTGTTCCTGGTTATAATAAGTGAAATTCGGAGCATGTGGTAAAAGGCGTTTAGCGTACGGGAACATCCCCTGTAATATGCTGTGAGCTAAACACTAATTCCACACCAAAACACTCGCAGCCTGGGCCCTTGCTATTTTGCCTTGCAGCTGATTCGCTGCTCAGTTATGCAGTCATGATTTTACATACTTTTGACCATGCCTGTGACTGTTAATCTACTTTAATCTGATT